ATTTTTAATCAACAACAACTATTCTAATAAACTAATAGACATTACTTTTGATCAATATTTAAAGAAAACAGATAATCCAATAGTTTTGCCCTTGACGAAAACGTATATACCCTTATTCTATTTAAACCAAATGCACGACAACAATAAAAACTGATGAAGACAACTCAAACGTATCATAAAATCAAACAATTACTATTACTACCAACAATAACAATAAATTAAAACTGATTATTTACTATAACACCAACCGTACTTCTAACCTCATTATAAAAAATAACAGCACTCTACCATCGAATAAACTAGAGAAAAAATTTTGTATACCGATTTCGTTGTTCTATGCCACACTGTGTTGTGGAGAGTTATATCGGCCATACACGAACCACTCTCTCTAGACGACTCACCATGCATGTTCAGGATGGTGCTATCAAGGATCATTTTGAATTAGCTCATCACTTTCGGCTCAATCGTACTATACTTGATAAAAATACAAGTATTCTCGATTATGAACCACATCCAGTTCGCCTTAAGATTAAAGAAGCGCTTTATATTAATAAATATAAACCTTCACTCAACAAACAACAGAACAAATTTGACCACATATTATAACTATTTTCACAGTATCGTGTACCTAGTACACAGTACCTATTTTCACACCGTCTGCCGTAGTTTAGGCGGATCCGCAAAATCAACGCATGCCTAGACGACACGAATATCATTCTACTCTGAATAAATGTTTATCCGTGAACACAGAGTTGTTCGCCCGACGCCCTAGAACGTATATCGTCCCCCGCTTGATTCCTTGTTTGATACATGATATGTAATTTTGTATTTGTAATTTCTAATTCATAGCATCATTCAAAATTGATTCATATCATCATTTATATATAAATGTGTAGATATATATATATATATATATATATACATGTATATATATGTATGTACTTACTTGTTACACACATAGCACACGTTTTATATAGTATACAATCTATTAACACATATTGACAATATTCTCTCAATATACCGATATATAACACTTTATATCGCTTCATACAAACTCATTCTTCGTATACAACATCACATTGGACTGCAATAATACCATTTCCACTACACTTGCATTGTTATAATTTTATCTATCATTTAGTGTAATACATACTTTGTTTTATTTACTTTCTAACAATTATTTTAACATGTAGCCGCAATTTATTACTTTGTAATTCTACATTATCTAAAACACTTTGATTAAATAATTTATTTATTTTCAATACCTTATATGAAATATTTTAATTATGTACTATTATAACAGCATATATTGTTTACTTATCGTCATTTTATTTTATATATTTTAATTAACTTATCATATTTTATTTATTCAAATTTATTTTATCTCACATATTCCTAATTACATTTCAACGTAATTTATTCTATTTCAATTACGTATATTAATACATCTTATAATTATTCAACATACTCTAATGTATAAATATACAACTGTTTAATAAATATGATTTAACCCAAATACGAAATGTTGAATCTATTAGTAAAAAACTAATCAAGGCAAAATGGGCAAAAATATTTAATGAAGTTTGTATCGCTGAGAACCTCGTACCAATATATATATATATATATATATATATATATATATATAGTATGGTATGGTATGGAGAATTTATATAGCGCTCCTCTATGTAAAACTCAGAGACGCTGTTCGAGAAGCTGTCGGTCAAAAAAGTGATGTTTAAGTCGTTTTCGGAACAAGTCTCTTTCATCCATACTATCAACGACATCATCGGGCAGTTTATTCCAAACCTCCGCTGCAGCCACGAAGAAACGACGCCGTCCATAATTTTCTGTCCTGAACCTAGGAACAACGAGTTTCTTTTTGGCAGAGGATCTGAGTTTTCGCCCCCCGGCAGCCGTAGGGACAGGCACGATCAGCTGTTGAAGGTATCGAAGACCAAGCCCCATCAAACTGTCTCTTGTGAACATTGCTATTCTGAATTCAATTCTATAACAAACTGGCAACCAGTGAAGCTCATTTCGCATATATGATGAAACAGATTCATATTTTGTTACACCAGCAATTATTTTTGCTGCAGTGTTCAGAATAGACTGTATGCAGTTTTGAAGATACAAGCTTGTACTATAGAGGATTGAACTGCAGTAATCTATTCTTCCACAAATGAAACTGTGCATCAATGAAATTAAGCATTCATTTGTCAGGTACTTTTTTATACGTCTGATTTGGCGCAATTTGTAAAACATGATCGGCAGACATTTTTCACATGTTTATTCATCTTCAATTCAGGATCTATCCAAACACCAAGATATATATATATATATATATGTATATATATATATATATATCGTAGTTTAATACTATCGTTTTTGTTGGATGCTTGGACGTTATATTTTATGATACTTTTCATTTTTTTATCCTGCTTGAAAGCGGTTGATATGATTCTTTTAATATATTACTATGCTATGTTATTTTTGGTACTATTGTTGGTTGCATTGCTGTTGTTGCTGATTTTTTTTGTTTATTGCGTTCTATTATTTTTTAGATCATGAAAGTTTTATATCCAATGAGTAGTTTAGTGATTCTATCTAGTTCTGTTCTCCTGCTTTCTATATCAAAAGAGTGCGTGTCGGCTCGTTTTACAAAGGCAGAAATCGTGCTCTCTGTATATGTTTCACAACGTTCACTACTGCCATTGATGCATAAACCTTTGTTTGTTGCTTTGGTGTATATTATACTGAGGTTTTAAATTCTTTTTGCACATTTTGTATTAGTATGTCTAAGAATGATAGTTTATTGTCAGTTGATTTTTCCATTGTAAACTTTAATTTTGACGAGTTTAATCGCTGTAGAAGTCTTGCTATTTGATTATCATCTTCATACGTAACAAATATATCATCAAAATATCGACAGTATATATTAGGTTTAAGCTCTGGTTCTACTTTAACCATATTTTTCTAGAAGTTTGGAGAGGCCATTGCTACACCGTCTTACTGTTGATATAGTGATATAATTTGTGGAATTAAATATTCTATTTTTTATTTTGCTGATTATGTTCTCTAGAGGAACATTTTGACATAGAGAACATAATCAGAATACTAATAGATAGAATATATAATTCCAGTCATTCCCCATTACCAACTCCAAAAGATGAATTAGTTTCGCTGCTAAAAATATGTACAGCCGAAGCGCTGTTCGTTGGCCCGGGTACACGCACTTTTCTGATATAGAAAACTGGAGAACACTAAACTACTCAATAATAAAAGATATAAAAATTTCATGATCCAGAAAATAATAGGACGCAAAGAACAAAAAATCAGCAACAACAACAATCCAACCAACAATAATAACAAAAATAACATAGTAATATATTAAAAGAATCACATATCAACAGCTTTCGAACAGGATGAAAAAATCATGAATAGAATCATAAAAAATAACGTCCAAGCAAATAACTACTACAACCAAAAAAAGTCATCTCTTGTGATGGAAAAAACTGCACTAGTAAACCAGAATCGATAATAGACCATAGCCATCAAATATATTTGTTCAAATGTAATATTGTGGGCACCATAATTCTAAATATATTGGTATCGAGAAGACTTACGATGCACGTACAAACTGGTGATATAAAGAGTCACATGAAAAAGAAACACAAAACTAAAATTACTAGACAAATCTTGGATCACAATGTTGAAATCTTATATTACAATAACAACCATTATAATTTACGACTTGCCGAATAAATACTCATAGAACAAAGACTTCCGATAATAAATTATCAACAAAGGGCGAATGGAATTCTTCCTACCAATAAATTTAGTAACAGAAATTGATAATGAAAACACGTAAGTAAATTCATATATTACGTGATTACGCTTTAACAAAAAGTTATCTCTAGGACTACAATTGTTTTCAGTATTAGGTGAGACGTTTTTTTATTGTTGTAATAAATTCGGAGTTTAACTTTATTATTTGGGTACGTTTGCCTGACATTTTTATTGATGATATGTTTAAGAATAGTTATATATATATATATATATATATATATATATATATATATATATACACACACACACACACACACACACACACACACACACACACATATATATATATATATATATATTAAGAACATGATAACAATTTTATAGTACTTTTAATAATTTTGCTTGCTTTTATTTTGTTTCCAACTTTCAATTCTTTTTGATCTCGTTTCAAATCATCGTTATTTTCTGCTTCTTCAATTGGAAAGTTTTTAAATTTGTGAAATTTTTTTTTCTTGGGGACCTAAACAAAAAATATTGGCCTGATAGAAATACATAACTAGATATTAAAATAAATTTTTATCTAAACTTTCCATAAGAATTTAATTTAGCAGAGATTGAAAATATTTTAAAAACAATAAATTGAATTTGTTTCTGCTTCCAAACGTTCATTAATATTACAAAAAATAATCAGCATTCCTGCTAACTTGTGTACTAAAATCTCAAATGAAATTCAATCTTATTTTATTTACTTTCGAAAACAAATTATACTTCCTTAGACCCCAGCCTACAGTAAATACCATTGTAGTTGAAAAACACAGAATAATCCAGCCATATAGTTCAAATATATTTTCGTTCTCAACTATATTCCTTCCAAAAAAATATTCAAACATTTGCGCAAAATTAATCGGCAGTTATTAGAAATAATATGAATTAGCTTTGAGATTTTTGATATTTTGAACGGATTCCTTATTTATTAAGTTAATTTTTGAGGATGTTAAAACCACGAAATAATTGAAAGATTTTGTTTTGTTTGTTTCAACGTGACGTTGAAATTACTTTCTTTTCGAAGTCATACTATTTTTATATTTGATCATAAAAAATAACAATTTTTTAAATTGAAACAATCGAAAATATCGAAAATAATTTAACAAATGTCATGGATATTTAACAGAATATAATATAAAATTCTTACAATTAGGTATTAACTAATATATTTAAACTGTATATTCCAAATATGACGCAAGAGAATAGTTTTTAATGTTTTTATTTTTATTCTGTTTCTCTTTCTTTTGAGTCCCGTTAAACTTTTTAGTTGAACTTTTGAAAATACCAAAATTGAGGTTAAATGTTTTTTTGCTGGTAAAAAAAGAACCTTTTATTTCTTTGTTAGCAGTTTCATTATTTTTATTGTCAATAGATAGTTTTCTATTTGAATCTGAAATTTCACTTGCATCGTCGCCGAAGGTACGGGATTTAAATGATTTTTGAAATGCATCTTCTTTTTGTGTTGTTTCTTCATTTCCAACGAGAGGATATGCAATAATCGCTATCGATTCTCTTTTTTTTGTCTGTTGCTCAGGAATTTTGTTCGATACTTTTGAATCTAATAAGTCATTTATACGACTGTTTAATGTCAACACATCGTATTCATTGATAGTCTTATTTTCATTTACCACAGTATTCTCCATTACGTTATTGACATTTTTTTCAAGATTTACTGTTAGAGGTCTAGAATCGTAGCAGAAATTTTGGAAATTTTTTTTGGATACGTTTGAAAATTCGTTGCCAAAGTGCGTTTCTTGTATTTCAACGTATTCTGAAACTGCATTAAAAAATGTTTTCAATAAATATATTTTAATAGAATAAAGTAATTCTTACGTTAATCAACTAATTAATCAGGCAAATATAAAAGTTTTTTAACACAATAATATTTAAACATTCTTATAAATAGATAAAGAAGAAATGTTAATTAAAAATATTAAATTAAAATATTTAAAAAAATGTTTTTTAACACAATAATATTTAAATATTCTTATACATAGATAAAGAAGAAATATTAATTTGCAAAAAAATAGAGTCAAATAAAACAATTTAACAAGATAATAACATTTTTTGTTGTCCGATGACGTTCTGATTTCAGATGGATCGTGAATTTTTCTTATTTTTACGATAAATGGAGATTCAACAGAGATATTAGCCTGATTGGTTACGTGTTGCTTAACTAATCGTTCATCGAATTCTTTAGTTTCATTATTAGTTTTTGTTTTATCGTTGTTATCTTCTATTGATTTCACATTAACCTCATGCATAATCTCATTAAATGATTGCTTTTGTATCTTGCTGAAAGGTGTACGTGTCTGTTGTTGTCGGATAATATCACTCGGTAGTTTACAATCAATTAATTCGTTTTTTGTTGAAGTGTTTTTAAGGAAGGAAGAAGAGGTTTCTAAATAGCATTTTTTCGTGTGTTTAATAATATGTTTCTGTGACAATGAGGTAAAAACAGTAGGTTTCAAAACTATTCTGCTGCAATTTTTTTGAGGACTTGTTTGACTGAGATCATGAATATTTTGCTTATCGGAAAAATTATCTAACGTCAAATTGAAGGAATTATTTTGATTTTTTGCTGCTTCTAATTTTATACTTTCTACATAACCATTTTCAAATTTTTTCCCATCACTAAGGTTTGAAAACAAGGTTAAACTTGGAACACTTATAGTGAAATTGTATTTTTTTTGCAATCTCTGTTCTCCTGGTAATGATAATTGTTCAATATCAGCCATAATGTCATTTACTGATCGAGCATTCTTAAGACCAATTATATCCCGATTTTTATTGGGATAAGCCAAGTACCATGAAGGTATGTCAAGATTTTGCAAAGAAGTCCAAATTCGGTGTTCACTTTCTGACATGTTTTCAAAGTCTTTCTCTCTACAGCCTAATTGCACTAAATCTACTGTACTTTTGCTATTTAATTGATTTTGCAAATTTTTAAAATCTGCAGTTTTATGGCATTTTTCTGTTTTATCAGGGTTAAAATATTTAGAAAAAACTGTTTGTCTACTTGCACAAGTTTTTTCATTTGATGTTTTATATAAATTGTTGAGTTCAATAATATTTTTATTTGAATTAAAATTGGCATTTTTATTATTATTTTTAAAATCTGACAAACACTTTTTTTTGTCACCGTTTTTTTTGTCCTGCTTTTTAGTTATTGTATTCCACATATCATCTACTGACGATACAGGTGCTTTCAGTTTAATACCCGATAATTTTGAAATATATTTGTTTAAATTAGAATCCTTTGATTTGTTTGAAATAACTTTATTCGTTTGGCACATGTTGCTTTTATTATTTGATCTTTCATTTGTGACTGATTTTTTCTCTATTGGAATATCTATAACATAAAACGAATTTTTACAGTGGACGGATTTGTTGGACTGCACGTCTAAATAATCAGAATTTGTTTTATTAATTGAAGAATTAGAAAATGTTTCATTTTTTTTGTTCTGGACTTCAGAATTAGTAGTTAACTTTTCCTCATCGGAGCCAGTAGTTTTTATTTGTGTAGAATTATTATCAGCTTTTGTACTAGGTACCTTAATATCAAACGTTGAACATTTTTTGTTGTTTTCTAAAATTTGAGATATAGGTGGAAAAATCTGTAATTTATTTTCAAAACTAGTTTTAGTTAATTTTTTTTTCAACATAGAATTTTCCTTTGTTTCAGCCTGATGAGCATAAGTTTGATTTGAGTTAACAACAGAGTCCATTTTACTTTTTATAACTTTTCCATTAGAATGAATGTCCAATTTAAAATGGCTTGTTTTGAAGAAGTTTTTTAAATCATTCCATTCTTTATTATTATCGGCAACGTTATCTAACATTTCATAGCTTCTGTCAAAGTTATCTAAAAAAATCGTATAAATTATTGACAGCTAATGATCAAGTAGAAAATTATATTCACATAAAAATTTTATTGGAAAAAAATTTAATAACTAGTAAAATATTTTACTTTAAACACAAGTTTTATGCAATAATGTTAGAAGTTAATAAATTTATGAGTTTGTCAGTTCACCACATAATGTTATGTAACGACAGAGTTTTTAATTTAACTACCTAAATTCTGGAAACAAATGTTTTGCGCTTGTATTTACCTTTATGCAAACATTCATAGACAGTGTAGTTATGTGCAGGGCCTCGAATCGTTATTTTTCCGTTTCAATTTATGGTTTCGGTTCGACTAGCAAAAAAAATGATGGTTCAATTCCGGTTTAGTTTTGGAAGTAATAATTTTCTAAATGTTGCAACGCGCAACAGCTTTTTAAAAAATATATGGCTAAAAAACAGTTTGGTAACGTTTGTTGATTAATAAAAATTAGCAGTAGGATTCTGGGTATATTAAAAAAGAAATGTTTTTGTTATAATTTATAACCAAGAATTATAAATTTTCAACAAATGATCATCGTGTACAAAGGTTTAAATTGCACAAAAAACTATATATATATATATATATATATATTTTGGGTTTAGACTATCATAAATACAATTATTTATAAAGATCACTGTATTTTCGGCATTATTTAACTTGAAGTTGAGTTTCTCCATTTTTCTAACAAGACTTATTATCTTGATGAAGTTTATTAATATATATATATTATATTATATATATATATATATATATATATATATATATTTAGGAACGAGGTTTTCAGAAATGCAAATTTCATTGAAATTGTTTGCCCATTTTGCATTAATTAACTTCTTTATAAGGCATTCAACGAGGCGGTATTGTTTGAGTTCATATTTATCTAAAACTGGAATAAAGCTAACAGCGCTGTTTCGGCGTAATGCCATCTTCAGAGCCTAAATATTGTTTAAACATATAATTTAATTAAAGTAAATGCCTAATGTAAAATGTGAAAATATAGAAAATAAAATATGTATTAAATTGTGAAATAAATTAACCTTGTTGTAAATATCATAATAACTAAAGTTTATGTAGATTATATAAATAAAATAATGTAATTTAAATAAAATGTTTAGTAAAATAATTAAAATATAGAAATTTTATAAAAGTTTTAACATGGTTGAGAAACGTTAGTGAAAACTAATTACGAACGACATGTGCGCCAGATATATAATATTGCTGTGTATGCGTTGTGAATACAACTGTTGAATATGTGTGATACGAGTTTCCACATCAGATCTACGGATACATAGTTAAATATAAATACATATATGTACATGCAAGATACATATCTATGTATAGATCAAGTATTAGGTATCACATAATACATCCAACGACGCGATGACGGTTGTCGGATGACGCTGGGTCACAAACTGCGTGTTGATGGGTTGAAATGTATTCAACGTAGGATGATATTCATATCGTTGTGGTACACGCAGATCCTGTGGATCAACCCCAACGGCAACAGTAGGTGTGAGATCGTGATATTGAGAAAACAATTGCAAAGTGTGATCAAAGCTGTTATATTGTTTATTGAGTGAGGGTTTATGCTTGTTGATATGAAGGGCTTCTTTAATTTTAAGGCGAACTGGATCGGGTTCATAATCAAGGATCGTTGTGTTGGGATCCAATATGTTCCTCGTAAGGGGTTGATGATGTACCCGTTCCATAT